GACATCGTGGGGACACAATAGGGGTCACTATGGGGTCACTATGGGGTCACTCTGGGGTCACTCTGGGGTCACAGTACGAGTTCTATGGGTTCTATGGGTGCTGATGGGTTCCCATGGGTGCCAATGGGATCCGATGGGTGCTGATGGGTTCCCATGGGTGCGAATGGGATCCGATGGGTGCTGATGGGTTCCCATGGGTTCTATGGGTGCCAATGCGATCCAATGGGTGCTGACGGGTTCTATGGGTGCTGATGGGTGCCAATGGGTTCCCATGGGTTCTATGGGTGCCAATGGGATCCAATGGGATCCAATGGGTGCCGATGGGTTCTATGGGTTCTATGGGTGCCGATGGGTGCCAATGGGATCCAATGGGTTCTATGGGTGCCAATGGGATCCAATGGGTGCCGATGGGTTCCCATGGGTGCCCATGGGTTCTATGGGTGCCAATGGGATCCAATGGAATCCAATGGGTGCTGATGGATTCCCATGGGTTCTATGGGATCCAATGGGATCCAATGGGTGCCGATGGGTTCTATGGGTGCCCATGGGTGCCGATGGGTGCGGGTGGGCTCCCAGGGGTGTCACGTGACCTCACCCAGCCAATACTCGCCGTCGGCGCGCCCGAAGCCGTAGCGATAATCGTTCCAACCCCGGAAGAAACTGACGGAGCCGTTGAAACGCTTCTGGAACACCTGGGGGGGGGGAGAGGGGGCACGCTTGCACACGCGTGTGCACACACGGATGGCACACGCGCACACGTATGTTACGCACACACGTTACACGTACACATCTGTTACACGCACGTCTCTCACACACAGACGTGAATGTTGCACGCACAAGCACACACACATCACACACACATGTTACACACACACAAGTTACACACGCACACGTATGTCACACACCCACACGCATGTTACACGCGTGTGCGCACCGTCCAGACGTGTCCGTCCGTGCTCATGTCGCTGTTACACACACACACACGTTACAAACACTCACACACACACAGATGTTACTCTCACACACACACACGTATGTCACACACCCACACGCATGTGACACGCGTGTGCGCACCGTCCAGACGTGTCCGTCCGTGCTCATGTCGCAGTAGACGGGCACCGGGAGGCCGGGCCCCATGGGATACACCAGGTAGACGCCGTCGCTCTGCGCCCCCCCCGCGTGCACGTCGTGGCAGTCGCGCGGTGACACGGCGGCGCACGGCAGCGCCGGCACGGCTGGGGGGGCAACGGGGGGTCATGGGGTCAGAGGGGGTCGTGGGGGTCGTGGGG